AATAATCATATTTAACAAAGAGACATTATTAAACATATTTGTTAGTTGTATTAAATAACAAAAAATATTCATTAACAATTACAAAAATGTTTTTTTATAAATGTATAAAGGAAATTATGAAATATTTATTTAAAACTACTATATCTACAATAAATAAATACATACATAATTGTGCTATTTGCCTCTTAAAATTAATGGTTTGATCTTTCAGACATCATTTTTTAAAAGAGAGACATCTCAAAAAATATCATTTTTTTTTTCTCTTTTCTCTTTTTTATATGTTTATGTTGAAATGTATATTTGCCTTATCAAGCTCAAACTCTGCAGGACTCTTGTCTTGGAAAAAAATTAATTGCGGTGATGAATTTTTATAGAAAAATATTGTTCTTTGTTTAAATACAAAAATATTAACTGAATAATTTGGCGTGGTGAAATCATATTCTTTTAGTTCAGTGTTATTTGTGCACTGAACTTCAGTTTCGTAACACTTCAGGTCTAAAGACCTAAATGTTAAGGGTTATATAAATCAGTGTGTTGGTTAAAGCAATGTAGTGTTTCATGCTAAAAGGAAGGCTGTAACCTAGAATCATTTAAATAAAAACTTGAAAGGCGGGAGGCAAGCCACGTGATGGCCTGATTGTGTTTTCTTTCTAGAAATGATGTTCTTATTATCAGTGGATGTCAAAGATCATCCATAAATGCCTGTCAGTGTATGTACTAGTGTAAGCTTGCATGAGAGTGGGTGTGTGTGGGAGAAAGCCGAAAGCCAAAAGACTCACAAAGCAGTAAATATGTATAAATGCACTTCCAAATTTTTGGCACAGCATGTGTGTGTGAAAGTGTTTTGAGTACATTGTGTGGGTTGAAAAAAGTGCTGGCTATCAGCAGAGCGTGTGTTGGTGCATGTTTTTGTGTGTGGGATCTGGCAAAATGTATAGACCAGTGGATTCTTCCTGACCACTGACCATTACAACAGAATAAGACTGGACAGTCCTCACAGACACCGAACAGAGCCGTGGAGTTTCCGCCAGACCTCACACGCTTCCTGACTCATTGGCTTCTACTATGTCTGTATTAGTGGCCATAATGCCTATGACTTATGTTGTATTTAAAACACTCACACACACGTCTTGATGTGTATGATATGAGATTTTAATGTGACGTGAACATGGATGGGTGATTTACATTACCGTGCAAAAGTTTGGGTTCAGACATATTTTTTAAAGAAATGTATGTTTTTATTCATGAAGAATGCATTGAATTGATCAAAAAAGTGACAGAAAACCTTTTTTTTTTCTGAGACATAAGAGACAAAATCTAAACATATTAACTAAACATATATTTTCCCTCTATAAATTCTTATTACCATTATGCAAAAATGTCAGTTTCCATTGCTGTAATGCAAAAAATAAAAAATAAATAAATAAATAAAGTAAATAAAAATAAATAAATGAATAAATACATAAATAAATAAAATGTGTTAACATCATGGAATTGTTTATTTTGCTTTATTTATTCTGATCAAAACAAACAAACAAACAAAACCCCCTATTATTATTATGCTCCATCATCCCCACAACCTTATATAGGACAAGCAGTTTGGAGAATGGATGGATGGATGCATGGTTGGATTTTATTTTCTTCTTCTTTTTTTTCTTATTGAATAAAAAATACTAATAATAGTTTATATATATATATACCTCATATGCAATGCTCAATATTTTGCAAGAGAATATAAAGTTGAATTATTCATTTTTTTAGATTAGCAAGTGTTCTTTTTTTGTTTTGTTATTAAATACCAAGCTGTACATGGACAATTTGGTTTTATGAGCGTTGCTATAGTAACAAATAATATCCGTAAGTGCATAAGTTCTGAGTTGTCATCTCGTAACTGTTGCAATTCAAACATGAAAGCAGAATTAATGTATAATGGGTGTGTTCTAAATGCTTCTTGGGTAATAATCGACGGTGATTATCACAGCTTTTAACATTAATGTTCAGTGCTTTTCAAAGAATCAATAAAAGTCTCCCTGAACAAGGCCTCATGATTTTATTCATTATACTGTTAGTTCACCGTGAACGTGTTACAGCGATGCCCTCAATCTGCCGGGCTGCTAAACAATAATGTACAGTATGTGGAAAATAATGTGTTTTTTGAACCTTAAACCGCATAAACACATTGCATTACACCAAATACACAACATAATGTTCTTTTTAGCAATGTCATATGACCCCTTTAAATAATTTTAAAAGATACAACTTTTAATATTAGTAATTGTTGAAATTAATAATAACATTAAATTAGATTAATAAATGCTTTAAAAGTATTTAATTGTTAGTTCATATTAATTAATGTTAACAAATGAAACCTTACTGTAAAGTATTATCATTTTTCCTAGCTTTATAATATTAATTTACAATATTTAAACTATTCAAATCAGTTTGTTGTGGCAATGAACTGATAAAATAATATATAATGAAATTTTCAATTTTCAAAAATTCCCCTTTCTCCATAAATTATAAGTTATACATTTTATATTATACGTAATATATTATACGTTTACAAATGAGCAACATATTATACAGTATAGGCCTATATAGCATGCCACTAATTTGTACCTTACTAATTTATAATTTTTTCATGACAACACATTCTAAATTTTATTTTATTTTTTATATTTATTTATTTAAAGTGAAAGGCTACAGTAATTTATTCTCTTTCTGAGGTCAAAGTGTCCCATTACAATGACTCTAGTGTGTTTTTTGTTTTTTTTAACTGATCAGAATTATCTTTGACAACATAGAGCTTTCTCCAGCACTCCATATGTAGATGTGGATGTACCCTGTACTCATTATGCGTTGTGTACACACTTTTGTGTCTTGGAGCTGTTTGCCAAGGACAAACACACATATTAGGGCAGAATGATAAGAGCCTCATCTCATGTTTAAACCACAGCAGATCAATAACCAGCCATATCCTGGCAACACATGCAGCCTGCCATTCCATTTAATCTTTACAGCTGTCATCATGTGGCACAGGTTGCCAGAGTAACCCCATTATTACGCAATGGAGAATTCCAAATTGTTATCTGTGTTAATGTTCAGTGCTTTTCAAAGAATCAATAAAAGTCTCCCTGAACAAGGCCTCATGATTTTATTCATTATACTGTTAGTTCACCGTGAGCGTGTTACAGCGATGCCCTCAATCTGCCGGGCTGCTGCTGCAGAGTCTCCCTATGGGAGTGGAGAATTCCAGATTGTTATCTGTGTTCTATCATAACGACCGTGACCACCTCGTTAGAGAAACAGACAGAATTAATTACACGGAATGAAAGAGAGAGGGAACAAAAGAGAGAACACTGGATGAATGAAGCAGGATGCTGTTTGCTTGAGCAGATGTCTTGAACATATATGGGCATTAGACGGACATGGCTTGTGTCCCCTTAAAATACCACTGATCAGTGATAATTAGTGAGACAAAGTTAAAATGCTTTTTGATAATTGCAAAGTTAATGAAATATAGACAAAAAGTCTTTAAAATTAAATTTTGTCAACAATATTTTTGTGCAAAATCCTTCTTTATTCACTAAGCACCTGCAATCAAGTTTAACCAGACTCTAATCTGAGCACCCCCCCCCACTTTTGCTGTTGTAGTATGGGAATGCAAAAATGATTTTAAAATAATTTTCTTTGATCTCTTATTTACTGCTGTAGAACTATATGCTGTAGTTTTCTTCGGTTCATTTAGGCTTTATTCACAACTTATTTGTGCTAAAAATAATGTTGAAGGTAGCAGTAAACCATAAATGGGTGTAAAAAGTGGATTGTTTAGATTGTGGGTATCAGTCCACTAAAAAAAGTTTGTGATATTCTGCCTTTAATCACAGATATACCTACAAACATGGACTGATGTCAAACTATTAGCACCAGTGTGTGAAATTCAATTCATCTGCCTGTCAAACAAACGGGTATGAGTCATATTAATCACAGGGAATATTTTTCCAAACAAACAATTATTAAAAATCAACATTATACTTCAAATCTTAAAAGCATGTTTAAAAAAAACAACAACTTGCAGATAATATATTATTAATAAAATAAAGGTCCACTTAGGTGTACTCGAAGAGAGTACAGTTTCATGACTATGTTTTTCAACACACTTAAGTACACTTTTTAAAAAAAAATCCACTTTGTGATAACGTCGAATTTTTTTTACTTTAAAGTACATTTTAAGTCATGTTTTTAAATAATCTTTTGTTATGCTTTAAAGTAGACTTATTTTGATGTGTTGACTAATATATTATACCATATGTAAAGTACTTGATTATAATTTAAACTGTAGTGTTACTCAATATTACATTTATGTACTATATTTTAAAAGTACTTGTCACGGTCAACGTGTGTGGAGGCAGGCAGGATGACGAGGACGACAAGGATTCAAATAAGGATATTTGAATACTGCAATCCTTGTGCAAATGTGTAATTACAAATATTAATGGAATTGATATTAAAGCATATTTTCATATTTTTATAATCATATTTCAAAGACAATAGAAGTAATCATGAAATTACATGTAAAGATGTACTTAAATGGGTCCAAAAAAAAAAAAGGACATATGAAGTTCAGCTAAGGGCCTTTAATATCAATTTAAACTTAATACATTTTTATAAATTTTTTTACTATTCAAAAACATTACATTTAGTTTGCACTTCAGTACTTTACTTATTTTTAATTTATTTTAAACTACATTATTTTCGTAATCAGTGCTCTTTTTTAAAAGTATGCTAAAGTTTATTTATTTTTCACAAGGGTTGTCATCATTTATGGCTGGCAACCACTTTTAGCCATGGTCGATTACCCCAACCACAGCTTAAGATATTTGGTTAGTAAGTATTACAGTGAAAGTAGATCTGGCACTGAAAATTGTACTTCTACAGTAATTGTTTGCTGAGTGGTTGTTATTGTTGTCATCAGTGGAGGAAACAAAAGTAGCAATTAATATTCATGAGTAAAGCCTTCACCTTTACATCATGTCATGAACGGTCAAATACACACAGTGATTCTACCACCACTGTCCCCAAAACTTTTTAAAATAAAGTGATGTCCATGCTGTTATGTACATAGTGCAGACACTGATACTGCATCTGCAAAAATCTGCTTCAACTGTTCAATCTATATTTAATTTGATTGAGAATAAACATTTCACATTAGGACCAAGTCAAAGTACAGCTGCCATCTCTCTCAGTCTATTTTTCAGGCTGGGCAAAGCTTTATTTCAGGAAGCAAATGCACACAAAAGCACTCAGTCACATAAAGCTTATCTGAGTGATTACCTATTGCCCACGCACACATACATCATGTCCTAACCGGCGTGACAAATATATAGTACCGGTAAGTATCCTAACAAAGGTCAAATTGGTGACTAAACCTTTTATCAAAACATAAGCTTCAATAACATGAAGCTTCTTTCAGAGAGATTACCAAGATGACTGCAGGCTGGACTCCTTTATTTAAAGAGAAAATACTGTGTAATGTGACACAGTAACCACCAATCAGAATAAATTTGTTGTTTAACACAAATAGATGTAAGATATTTCCTGTGAACGTGCAAGACTTCAGTTTCATTAGCCGCTATAGATAAATAAATAGAAGAATAACGTGCAGTAAACACACATATGCATAACTAGAATAATAAGTGCAGTTAACATTGCAACTATTTGCACTACAAACTAGTGTGTTTTTTGACACCAGAAGCCTTGAACATTCAAATTAAAAATGGCTGTGTCCACTCTTTTGTCAAAAATAAGGTGGACAGGCAACTTTGGTCTTACCCAGATAAGACACTCCTTCTTCAGGTGTGATGGTTCCATATTTGACCATCATCTTCACAAAGTCGATCAAGGTCTTCATGATGGTGATCAGGGTTTCTCTCTCCTCTTTATCTTGCTCTGTAAAGTGAGAGAAGAAGGATGTGATAGATTAAGCGATGAGACCAGACTTTAATCTGGATTAATGTGGTGTTTGCTGAAGAAGAGGGTGATAAATGTGTTTAACCAGATGTTTCTATAGACCTTATATAACTGCTGATTTACTGAATGAGCTGTGTTGTGTTATGAGGTGTGTTACATTATTGTTTGTGTGGCTTCTGTGTGTGCTGTGCTGTGTTGTACTATACTCATGTGTGTTGTATTTTTTTTTTACCTTTACTACTTAAGCAGGTCAAAAACTTCTGCATGTGTAATTTCATAATTATTTCTATTTTTTTTTATATATATACAGGTGCATCTCAATAAATTAGAGATGATCTGAATCTTTTAAGTGTGACAAATATGCAAACAATTAAAAAAACAGGAAGGGGGCAAAAACTTTTTCACACCACTGTATATAAATACAGATAAATACATTTAGCTTAATGATTGCTATCTGGATGTGAAGAGACTTTCAACCAGCATAACAAAAACAATTTCTGAAGACAATCACCTATTGCATCTTTAAGTGGCCTTTTATTTCATTAAGATTTTATTCTGCAAGTTATTTAAAAAAATATATACTTTTTAAATTTGAAGTACACTACAAGTGCACATTCAACAGTTAATTGCACTTCTTTTTCACAAGGGTGGTTTGTGGTGTAGAGTATCCTCTGTGTGTTGTGTCATATATATCATGTTGTGTGTTGTATTATATTATGTTGTGCATTATATTTTGTGTTGTATTGTTTGTTGTATTGTGTTGTGTTGTCTACCTGAGTCGAGACTCTTCAGGAGTCTGTAAAAGTTGGGGAAGAATTGAAGGTCCTGCAGTCCGTCTTCTGGATTCAGTTCGTTTCTGTCGTTCCCATCGCTCACAGCGTCCCATGAGTCTTCAGCCCTCACTGTATCATCTCTGCTCTCCTCCTCCTGTTCTTCATCACCATTATTATCATTGCCACCATTATCATCATCACCTTCATCCTCGTCATCATATCGTTGACTGGGCCTGTCTTCCTCATCCTGAAGAAGAGAATCCAAACAAATAGAGCGATTTTTTTGTGTGGAGTTTGTGGATAAACATGCAGTTGATAGAAACACAACAGACACACAGTCACACACTCGTACCATACTGTTCTCTGTATCTTTTGCTGCATTAACAGTGTAGTCCATACTGAGGTCTCCAATCATGTTATCTTTGGCATTTTTAGTGATCAGATCCTGCAGGGTTTCAGCAACCTCATACTCCAGCGTCTCTGCCTGACTGTCTGTGATCTGAACGACAAACAAAAGAACACCTGCTAGAACAATCAATTCACAAAGGGATTATTGTATGACAATCTATTTTCCATGCTATTTATTCTGGTTAATCTGGAATATGTTTCCCTAGAGGAATTAATACATTATGAATGATGTTTATTGTATGGCTCATCGATATGGTAGCTATCAGAATCACTGCGCATGCCACAATTTGAATCTCTTACTAGACCCAACTTGAGCAGTTTAGACACAATTCTGTCAAACACTCCTCGGTCATCCTCTTCGTAGATTTTGTTGGCGATTTTCTGGACGATGTCATGAGCTGTTAGAGGGGTCCCATCCAGCTGCCGAAAACTTTCAGGATCATCTAAAAAGGAACACATTAAAATAATTCACATCACTCCTATTAAACAAATTTATCCAAACTGAATATTAAGGGCAGTTCACACCAAGGACGATAACATTAAGTATAAAGTTTTATTAATCGTTCTAATTTGATCAAAATAGGGATGTCCACACCACAACTATAATAATAATAATATCCCTATCATATCGATTTTATCCAGATGATCAGTGATAAAAACATTGACAGCATCAGAATCCACCTGACTTTAAAGAGCTTGAGCATTTAAAATGGCAGCTTGTGCCTGTAATAAACAGAATATTATTGTCCGTTGATGTGGGCACTTTATTGTTATAGTTTTTTTTTTTTTAAGGAAAAAAAGAGGATACAGTAATGAAACCAGAATGATCCGGTTTCTTACATAACTGTACTGTATCCTCTTTTTTTCCTTAAAATAATTAGTTCAGTTCAAAAGAAATTAATATTTCATGTCCATTTATTTAACAAGCATTTCGCCTCTAGGTCCTGATCACCTTGTCAGGTTTATTTCACAATAACTACCGGCTGACTATCCCTTACTTATTTTGGATAATAACCAGGGGCATTTCTAGCCTTTCATCTGTACTGGGGAACAGGTCCCCCATTAAAAAGTGTCCCCATATTTTGATGCTTTTATATACACTGTTATAGATATAACTTGACCCTCTGTGCCTCTTAATTTTTGGGTCAAACTTGTTACCTCTGCGTAATATCAATGCAATGTCAAATCAATGTATTATATTTTTGTTCAATAATATTTTTTTATTTTTGTTTAGAATTTTTCTTTTTATTTCTGAGCTATTTTTTATTCGATTAAAATTAATTAAACTCTGAGCCCATTCATTTTTGGGCCACACTTGGAACCTTTGTGGTCAAAAGTGACCGAAGCCTTGAAATGTAACTTTTTATTATTTATTTATTTTTTATTTTATTTTTAAAAATTTTGGCAGGAAAATGAGTGTAATATATTTTTGCTCAATTATATATTTTTTGATTATTATTTAGAATTTTGAGGGGATTTTATGATACTATGCAACGTTTATACAATTTTTTTGAGCAATTTTTTTCCACAGTCATTTTTGACCACAAAAGTACCAAGTGTTACTTTTTTATTTTTCGACACTTTAACATATGCGAATCATGTAAATAATTTTTTTGTGTGTGTGTGTTCACATAGCTAATGTGGCAAAACTCACCAAGTGTCATCCCATTCCAATGGAGCCAAAAATTTACAAAATTCAAAACGTAATTTTTTTGGTCAGTTCTGACCAAAGTAGTGTTAATTTTGTCAGCTATTTTTAATTTAGTCTTAGTCGTAGTCCTTAGTCTTAGTCTTTGTCTTTGTCTTTGTCAAAAGTAACTTTTAGTTTTTATTATATTTAGTCAACTTTTCCTGTTTTAGTTTTAATCAAGTTTTAGTCGACTAAATGTCTGAGCATTTTAGTCTAGTTTTCGTCTTACTGTATAATGGTAAAATGATCAAAATTATTATTTTGCTCAGTTTTAATTGCAATGATTGGTGTCATTTGGACAATTTACAAATTTTCTTTCACCAATAAGCACAAATCTATAGAATATCGACTCATATGCATGGTTTATTTTACCTAGTGTACAGATTTATAACAGGATATCAATTAGAGGCTAAACGACTTTAGATATACACTCGCACTGTCTACGTTATGAAAACTGGTGTAACAAAAACCTACTCTCAAATATTATAACAGAGAAATTCCTAAAAGTAATTCCAATAATTCCAAATTGTATTAATGTTTCTCTTTTAAAACAACGGCAAAAAAGACTTGTTACCACACAGAGGTTGTGTAAGTAACATTACAATCAGCAAATCACAATCGCAAACAATACAGTCGAGATCCATGACAGAACACAGACTGGCTGAATGACACTTTCATTTAAGCAGAACACCTCAAACAGAGATCGCTGAACTCCAGCTTACTTGTACAGTAGCCTACTGTATGTCGGTGTTTTCAGATATGGCGCCTCCGCAGAGAGAGCGCGTGTGAATGGTTACCAGATTACATAAAGCAAAAAGCCGGGCAGACCCCGCCAGAGTATGTATCCATTTAACAGAAAAGCTCTGATTGGGGGATCTGAGCTCTTGATATCTTGCAACCGTAAACATGAACGCTCGCATAATAGAGTCTTGTACAGCAGTCTGAAATGTTTTGACTCGTAAAAAATAAAAAGGTTTTGGTAAAGTTTTTGTTCTTTTAGCTTCATTTTAGTCTCGTCTTTATCGTCAACGATACTGCATGTTCATTTAGTCTCAGTTATCGTTTAATGACCAGTGTTGGGGTAACGCATTACAAGTAACGCGAGTTACGTAATCAGATTACTTTTTTCCAAGTAACTAGTAAAGTAACGCATTACTTTTTAATTTTAAAAAAGCAACTCAGATTATGACGCAAAGCTGCAATAATTAAATATGTTAACTAATACAAATATCCTTTATGTATTTAATCCCATTTTATTAACCAATTTGCTGCTGACTTTCGATGATCCAATTCAACCATATTAATAAGCAAAAATTACAAAAGCTAACATTTCTTCTCCTTTTTTATTGCTGAAGAGTGTTGAACTTTCTTCTTCTGCGTTCTACTGTACAGACGTGAATTTACATTTCCTTCAGCCTGAGGCTTTTGGTGTGAAAGGGCTTTTACATTTGCCAAAAATATAACTTTTTATATTAAAAGCAAACAAGCAAGCCCTGCCCAGATTTAAAAAGTAACGTAAAAGTAACGTAACACATTACATTCATTAAAAAGTAACTAAGTAACGTAATTAGTTACTTTTTTAGGAAGTAATGCAATATTGTGATGCATTACTTTTAAAAGTAACTTTCCCCAACACTGTTAATGACCTTATTATCGTCTCGTCATCGTCTCGTTTTCGTCAGGGGAAAACACTTCGTTGACGAACATTTTTCATCATAGATTTCGTTAACGAAATTAACACTAGAGGCCCATAAATGAATTGTTGATAAACTGTATGGACTGTAGGTGTCACGATAAGGGGTTTTGTCTTGGTTCTCTCCGGACTCCATTCCCCATAAACCCCTGCCTAGGAACTCATTATTGCACCACACCTGTTTCCTATCAGTGACACTATAAAGGTTGCACTCATCCACACACACATTGCTGATTATTGTTTAGCCTGTACCCTGTTCCGAGTCTCTGTGTTTCCTTGCCTTGCCTTGCCTTGCCTTCTTGTTTTTTGACCTTGGACTGTTTATTGGATTGCTCTTTTGTCTCGCCCTGGATTGTACCTGTTTGCTGGTGTTTGACCCTGCCTGTTTTGACCACTCTTGTGAATAAAAGCTGCATTTGGATCCTCAACTCCGTTGTCACGCCTCCTTCATTACAGAATAATCAGCCAACACCCGGATCCAGCAGCTTTATCAGTGTATCTAGGCCAGCCATGAATCCAGCAGCAAAAATAATTGGTCTCCATCAAGGTGAGCGGTCTATTGAGGATTATGTGTTGGACTTTATTGAACTGGCCCATTTAACATCTGTGGACGAGATGTGCCTCATGATATTTTTTCGAGGAGGCCTAGCTGAGCCGCTGCAATCGATTATGCCACTGCACGATCTGAACTGGACACTGGAGTTTTACATAGATCTGGCACTTCAACTAAGTGGCTCTGCATTTACTGTGGGTGTTGTGGAGGAGGAACACAGCACTCCTGCAGTATCTCCCACTCCAGAGTCTCTTCCCAAGATGGCTGCCAGTCCAGAGAATGTTCACGAAATGGCTGCCAGCTCAGAGAATTTCCACAAAATGGCTGCCATTCCAGAGTCACGTTATGTCTCAGCTGATCTCCCAGAGCCTTGTTATGTCTCAGCTGTTTGTCCAGAGTCAGGTCACATCGCAGTTGATCATCCAGAGTCTTCTCACACCGGGTCAACCATGACCATTGCTACAAGGCCAGTCCCAAGGTAAGTGTCGCCTTGGCTCAAAGCTCCCTCCTCTCCATTGTGGCCCGTCAGTCCACCGGCTCCGCCAGGCTTCCTCGTTCCTCCAGCTACACCTTGGTCATTCGTCGACCTGCCCTCGCCTCAGGACTACACTCCTCCGTCTTCGCCTCATCCCTCCATCCCTCCGGCTCTGTTGGGCTCCTCTCTCCCTCCGGCTCCGCCTTGGTCCTTGGTCGCTCCGGCTCCACCGCGGCCTTCTGGAACCACATCTTCGCCTCGGTCGCCAGAGCCGTCGGCTCCACCATGGCCCGCCGATCCCTCAGTGTCACCCTGGCTCTTCGGCTCAACGTCTTCGCCTTGGGACCCCCGTCCACCGGCTCAGTTTCTGTCAGTCGGACCCCTGAGACCTCCTGTTTCACTCCCCTCATGGTTCCTCCCTCCATCAACTCCACCGTGGACTGTGAGTTGTTCTCGTAATCTGTTTGGAGCATCTGGAATCTGCTCTTTTTGGGGGGCTCTGTCACGATAAGGGGTTTGTCTTGGTTCTCTCCGGACTCCATTCCCCATAAACCCCTGCCTAGGAACTCATTATTGCACCACACCTGTTTCCTATCAGTGACACTATAAAGGTTGCACTCATCCACACACACATTGCTGATTATTGTTTAGCCTGTACCCTGTTCCGAGTCTCTGTGTTTCCTTGCCTTGCCTTGCCTTCTTGTTTTTTGACCTTGGACTGTTTATTGGATTGCTCTTTTGTCTCGCCCTGGATTGTACCTGTTTGCAGGGGTTTGACCTTGCCTGTTTTGACCACTCTTGTGAATAAAAGCTGCATTTGGATCCTCAACTCCGTTGTCACGTCTCCTTCGTTACAGTAGGTAACCTAAATATCCACCTCATCCAGCATTCTTTTGGTTGTCTTTTTCAGTGCCGTAAGTTTATTTTCTAGTGCGTTGTATTTGAAATTAGCCTACTTTATCAGAAGTTTACAAGCTCAAAGCTCTTAAAAAGAAGCTAAGTAGGAGGAGAATGTGTGAAAGAGATCTGAAT